GACCACCGGCTGGTGACTGCTGCTCTAGACCACAATCTTCCCTCCAAATGGCACACCCACTTACCTGGCCATCAGCAGACCAGGCCAGAGAGGTACACTGGGGTGGCTCTGCCTTGCTGCTGGTACTGATAACTTCTTGCTTCAATTCATCTACAATGATCTTACCTTCCAAGTCCTGGGGAAGGAACAAAACAGAGTTAAGGCAACCCTGCACTTTAATGCCACTGATACTAAAAAACACCAAAAAAACTGGAAACACAAGTCCCCTCTCAAAAGTCCCTTTATATCTGTTGAGATTACTATCTCAACAGAGGGTATTTTTTGCCACTCCCACCTGGCAATGCCTAGAGTCGTTTCTGGTTGTCACTAAGGGAGTTTGCTATAGGCGCTTACTGGTGACTCAAGACCAGGTTTGCTGCTAAACAACCTAAAATACACAGGGCTACCCCACCCCGCCGGCAAACATTCAGACCAAGTGCCAACTGTGCTGCGGTTGAATAAGCTACTCCATGGCCATTCCTTTAAGTAGGCAAGGACTGAATCACTGCAAACCCCAAACCCAGCAAGTTTTAACTAGCTTCTTCTGGGCCTCCACTGACACCCTGACAGCAGTTCAGGAAATCACAACAGTGCCATGGCTTAGGGTACAGCTAGGTACCTGTCCTGAACTGCAGCCCATACTCACCCAGATCTTGATGCTGGGGCCAGTGGCAGCACAGAGCCAATAACGATTGGGGCTGAAGCACAGGGCGTTGATGATGTCCCCACCATCAAGTGTATAAAGATGCTTGCCTTCGTTGAGGTCCCACAGCATGGCCTGGCCATCCTGGGAGAGAGCAAAGTTGAGTCAGGGCAATGTGACCTCTTCCAGATGTTAACCCCAGCTGTCTCAAGGTTGTCTTATCTATCCCACCCCCGTACCCTAAACTTCCCCAAAACGAATGATTGAAGTAGCCAATATTTACCTCTATACCTTTCCTTTAATGCGCCACTTCACTCACCAAACCTACCAAGAGCCTGTCACCTAAATCAAACCACTGTCTGTTAAATGAGATCCTAATGTCATCAATCGCTTCAAAAGAAACCAGATGTATAATAGAAGACAATTGTTTTCTTTTGAACAGTATAGTATGCCTTAAAGATCTCATTGTCAGAAAGCAATATTTGGAAACACTTATTCTCAGATTGCTCTTACTGTCAAGCACTCTTTCTAAGACACTGTACCCATCGCCTAGGAGACTCCTGGCCCAAGTACCTTGCCTCCAGAAGCACAGAGGGACCCATCTGGAGAGACAGTCACAGTGTTCAGGTACCCCGTGTGGCCGATGTGATTGGTCTTCAGCTTGCAGTTTGCCAGGTTCCATACCTAAATTTGGGGTGGTGGTCAGAGATGAAGAACTTGGCTCTGGAGCTGTCAAGAGTCAGAAGAGCTCTAGCCAAACAGAAAGGGCCTTTAAAGCTCGTTTCAAAGCATTCCTGGATCTGGTGGTCATTTTTCATTTGATCAGTAACCAAAAAAAGGTCCTGGCCACTCGTGGACAATTAGGATTAAAACAGGTAACAAATGCTCTGTTGCCTCATAAGGGACTTAGACCCATCAATTGGCTCCTTTAGATCAACTAGAAAGAAAAAATGTAAACTGAGGAACAAGTTGGAGTGCATGACCATCTGGGGGAGAGTGGGAACACATTCCAGCTGGTGAAGACCCTACACCCTGGCTCCAAGCTCACCTTGACCAGCTTGTCCCAGCCACAGGACACGATGATGGGATTGCTGCTGTTGGGTGAGAAGCGCACACAAGACACCCACTCCGAGTGGCTCTCATCCTACAGATGAAAAGGAAATTAGGGAAAACCATCCTGTCCATGAAACTCTTGACCCCACCCCTTAGTTATGATGACAATCTGTTTTCACACTTCCAAGCCCAAACCTTCGAGATCACCACCTAAGGCCCAGGTTCAGAGGGTGGGAGAGCACCTTAACGCGCGTGGTCACTGTACCTGGACGGTGTATTTGCACACACCCAGAGTATTCCACAACTTGATGGTTTTGTCTCGGGAGCCAGAGACAATCTGCCGGTTGTCCGAGGAGAAGGCCACGCTCAGCACGTCCTTGGTGTGGCCCACGAACCGGCGCGTGGTGGTGCCCCTGAGAGGAAGGACTCGGTCACTGCCCAGACAGACGCGAGCCTTCTTCCAGGGAGACGTTTCCCTGGCCTGGTCCAGCCCCAGCGGAGCTGCGTTTCCTCATACAGCCCGGACACGGGTCTGCACAGACTGGCCCTCAGCTAAGAATGCTCCAGAGGATTCCCTTCAGAATTGCAGGACATGTCCTCACTCCCACACGGGGTTGGCTGACCATGTCGCCTGTCATCACCAGGACCCTCCATTATGTTCCCAAGGCAGAACCTGTTCAAACTCTTGCCGCCTCAATGGCAATATCGGGAAGACCACTCCCCGAAGTGCAACAAACGCAAAGCAACAAGGAGAGAGCCAGCACCTCACTACCCTCTCCTGGTGCTCTCTGGACTCAGTTCCCACAAGGGACCGACCGGAGAGCCCAGGGAACCCTCCTCCCCCCAGAGCGAAGTGAGCAGCTACTTGCGTTGTGAGATCCCAGAGGCGAAGGGTTCCGTCCCAGGAGCCAGAGAGGGCAAACTGGCCATCTGAGGAGATGACCACGTCACTCACGAAATGGGAGTGACCCCGCAGAGCACGCTGGGGGATGCCGTAGTTGGTCTCATCCCTGGTCAGCTTCCACATGATGATGGTCTTGTCTAAGGGCAGGTCAGACAGGAAAGGAAGCCCAGTGAGCAGCCTCATGGCCACTTGCTCACCTATGGACGATCGGGTCGCCCTTGGTCCCCGGTGGGTCCGCAATCTAACCAATGAAGAGCAGGTGGGGAGGGGAACCCCAGGCCCCGAGCACAGGCCCAGCCAAGGCCAAGTGACCCGCTGTTCCGGAACCAAGTGGGCCAAGCAGTGCCTAACTTCACCGGAGATGAGGGCGCTCTCTCCTGACACTGACCAGCTCAACACCCATTTCGGCCTCATCTGACGACTGATGCAGAACCAGCCGCTCGGGAGCGGGAAGACTAGCCGCGGGGCTGCCTGCGGTGCCGCCAGGCGAGCCGCTCCCCTCGCTCCTGGTGGCTGCCTCCCCGGGACCTGCCCAGGGAAGCTTCCCGACTGAGCACCACGCGGTCAGTCACCTTTCAGCTCGCCTTTCGGTGCGGGTGGGCGCAAACCCAAGGCCCAGGAAGCTTCCGAGCAGAAACCCGAAGGCACCGAGGGCGGGCTCGGGCCGGCCGGCCGGGGTCGGTGCCCACCCCCTTCCCACCGGGCAGGGGCCGGGCAGCAGCTCAGAAACAGCCTCTGGTTCTCAGCACGGGCACTCAGATGGCATGTTGGTGTCATCACCGCCCCGCCCGACCCACTGCAGCACACCTGCGGGGAGGCGGGCGAGAAATCAAAGAGCCCCCCAGTCCTGCAAGCCTCCCCGCGGCCGCTGGCTGACCCGTCTCCACGTCTGCATTCCGGCCGAGGCCGGGGCACAGTCCGCGCGGCCCTTCCACCCCGTTCCCGGCCGCGTGCCACAGGCCCAGCCACGCGACAGGGACACCCTCTTATCCTCCAATCGCCCGCCCCGCATCTCAGCTCGTACCTCGAGAGGCGGACAGGATCATGTCCGGGAACTGGGGGGTGGTGGCGATCTGGGTCACCCATCCATTGTGGCCCTTGAGGGTGCCACGGAGGGTCATCTGCTCAGTCATGGCGGCGGCGGGTGCGGGGGTCGCCGCAGCGACGAGGATGGACCTGGATACTTCAGAGAGAGCAGCAGCGCAACCACCACCGCCGCCGCCCCGCGAGGAAAAGAGAGAACGTCCCCCGCCGGAACCGGAAACACCCGCCCTCTTTCGCAAAATGGCGGCCCCCATGATTCAATGCCGCGCAAGATGGCAGCGCCATGGAGAGTATAGAGCGAGGTGAGATGACAACACCCCACACCGCATAACTTGGTAACGTGTATAAATATTCTGAAGCCAAGACCACCCTGTTTCAAAACGCCCCTCGGACGCTGATGGGGCCGTGGAGCCTGAGGAGCGGAAGAGGGACGAGCCGGCATCGCCCCGAAGACTCGGGCTCCGGGCCGCGCGCCCGGCGGTGGCCCCGCTGGCGGAGCTTCCTGTGGGGGTCGCAGTGCGAACCCGCGGCGTCAGATGGTTGACATGGACGGTGCCCGGGACTAGGAAGCCCCGAGAGGTTTCCATGCGCAGGGGCGGCTCTTCCCGAGGGGTTTACGTCTGAGCTTCCG